GCTTCTCGTAAACGGCTTTGAAGATCATTTTATTTTGAGAAAACAAGTTTGCTCTAGAGGTGCCAAAAAGTTGAAAAAATAATAAAGAATGCAGTGAATAATGATGGTTTTCAGCATGAAATTTATGTCATGATAATCAAGTGGTTTAAAACTGTGGAGGACACTTGGTTTTCTAACAAATCATGTCTAATTGAAAACTGAAATTCTTTTGAAAAATGTGGAAGGCGGTGTGCCCATACATCTCAACTTGATCTGATGGTTCTTTTTTTACAATGGATTACAGTGATGAGATTTGAATCAGAGACGTTGTGTATTATAGTTACACGTGTTGAAGTTTTCTTCTGAGTCTTACCTGACGTAAGAAAATGGACGTTCTTTCCGCGCTAAGTATTTCCTAAAATTTTCCCGAAAGGCCTGTTCAGTAAAGTGAGGTTTCCACTTTTTCCAAGCTCCAAATCGAACAAAATTTTGACAGAAGATGCATCTACCAGCGATACATCGAATGCTGTTAGCAAGGGAGAGACAACAAAAATGCATTCATTCGAATGTTCTTCTTTGACAGAAAAATAATGATATATTCGGAATCAGCGTGCAAAGCTGCATCGATTAATAGGTGTTCGAAAATTTTTGAAAGGAAAACTGTGTGCATCACAGCGGACGATGGTGTTTTTCGAGCTTCGTCGGCAATGACGTTAAACTAGGTTAGTGGTGTTGGTTAGAGATACGGATACGATGAAGATAATGTAGAAATCGAAAATATAATCTTCGAAACGTTTTCTTGGCTTGCGGTCCCTCGGATTTGTTTTTTTGTTGATGTATAACGTATAACCCTAACTTTTGGCCAAGGGAATATTTGAAAGATTATGAAAGAAACTTAGAAATGTTCGTTCTTGAGAAGAAAGTGTTCATCGTTCATCTATGGTCATTTTCTGTACTCAACATTTTTCATGAACATATAGGGAAAGAAGTTATTTTGAAAATATAAAAATGTTTTCACCTTTTTCAGAATAACTTTTTTTCCTAAATTTTCATGAAAAATGTTGAGTACAGAAAACGACCACTGTAAAACGGTGAACATTTTCTTTTCAAGAATGAACATTCGAAGATGTTTCCTTCATACTATTTCAAGCATATATTCAAGGATTTAATGTTTAACTTACTTTTTGTGAATTTTCGTACCTCATAAGATTTCGCATCTCATTTTCCACCTTTGGATTTTGCAATAATACAGTGAACATATATTTTGTAGAGAGTTGAACACGCTATGCTAGATTAATTTTAAGGGATAGGAGAAAAATTAAAAATACTAACACTATAATTCTTTTTGGGCCAACCACAGCTGCGGTAGTAGCAACATCATGTCTTAGTGAGTAGCCGAAATAAAGATCAGTTGGACAACTCCGTTTCCTTAAAAGATGAAGTATTTTTTCAACAAAATCTGGATGTGACAAAGGAAAACCAGTTAGCGTCTGGAAAATAGGATCCGACGAGTTCGAAAGAATAGTTTTCAAACTGAAATAAAACGTTTACATGAAACGTTTTAAAAAACGTTATAAAAACGGTAGCAGAAATGTTTTTCATTTTTGTACAATTGCTTAAAAAAAAGCACCATTTCGAGTTCGGCAAAAACCAGCAAAAACTTGTTTATACATAGAACCGAAAATAGAAACTGATTTTTGTCTTTTTGCTGCTACTTATACATTGAATCGAATGAAACGCTGATACTTTGGTGCTTTATTTTATTAAGCTAGCGGTTGCAAGAAAGAGTGAAAATTCTGCTGTTGCATCTCAGATCGTTCAAAGCAGTGTTTTGCAACTTGTATTCACTTACTCTCTGGCTATTCACGCTGTTCCCAGCTTTTTCCCGTCAGGTCCGAACCAGTAGTAACAGTTTTAAAAGCTTGTATGTTGCTGAAATTCAATCTTTGATAATTTGTTGTTATCTTCATCCGTGTCATCCGCCAAAAAATAGAATTGAACAAAAAAATATAAACTCAGTAGACAGGAAAATAAAGAAAATTTCTCTGAGATCGAATGGAAGGACAGAAAGGATAGCAGTGACTATTTTGTCTAGTACAAGTCAGCGATGTGCAAGTCAAGTCATTTCTGACGTGAGTCAAAGAATCTTTCTATACCCTTGCAAATAATCCCACCCTAAACAAAATAATACTAAAAAATCTTTAAATTCTATCCCAAACAGAATGAAATACTCACGTGTAGCGCATGTGGATCTCGAAGAGCCTGTTGCACACGTGCAGCTATTGGGAGAATAACAAGTTCCACCATTCAGGGAGGCGTAAAGGCATACATCTGAAAAAGATTTACATCAAAGAAAATGAGTAGGGAATTATGCAACTCAGCATTCGGAAACCATTTATCTGTAATTCTCTACGAACTGGCACTAATAAGAAGTAAAGTTTGGCCTTCTAGAGATGTTGGATTCCAATAGGATCTCGACACTGAATGAGCTACAAGAAAATGTGCTAGTGCAGCTTTGTAGAGCTCGGGTTGTTCTACAAGATGACGTAAGTAGGTAGTCACGGGAATCCAGAAGCCGATTTCTAGAGGAAAACAAGAAACTCGGTTTTTATCTTTTCTTAGGTGCCCTTGCTGAACAATTAGTCATCGAGACTTGATTCAAACGCCATCCAATAGAAAATGGCGAGACAAATCGAATGCATTGATTGGTATCGAGTTTAGCGGGAAACTTCGTGCAGAAAACGTGTTATGACTTTCAAATCGGTATTTTCGACTTCTCACACGAAACGTTTCACTCTTGGGCCCATCGCACAGTCTCGTTTAGATGCCCAAACGACACCAGACAGCTTCAACATATACTCCATCTCGTACGCCGCATATTCTCGATTTCAAGAAAAGTGTTAAAAATTAATAGAAATTACTTTGACTGGTGCAAGGCTTTCTTGTTGTTGTTCAGCAATGTTATTTTTACTAATCTTAACTGGAGAACCATGTTCAGCAGAAAAATGAACTACATGTTGAAAATTTCGAGTAGTTTGAGTAAAGACTCATAAGACAATCTCTCAACCTTCGGTGGAAAGAGCCAAAATAAATCATTTGACTATCTATAAGTTATCACTAAGTTCTCAAAACTTCTCCTGTTAAGAAAAATGGCCACCAGACTTGTCGTAGCTAGAAGTTATAATTTTTAGCTAATAAATTAGTCTCAAAAGGGACAAATTTACTTTAGCAATGTAAAACCGATGAATGGTTCTCACAGATGCTTTTCTACAAGAACATGAAAAGCAAAAGAAGTAAAGACTACATTTTCTCCTTCCCGAAAGCGCACGTGTGCTATTGTGATGCAAAGCCCTCTGACATAGTGTCACTCAAACAGTTCATCGAACACCGATTGAGCTAAAATGCTTACCAGTAATAGTGATGGAAAGCAATAGTTTTGAAATACAAATGTTAGCTCGTGCAGGCTTAACTTGAGTAAAGCTGAACAAACACGTTGTACTCCAAATAGGTACGCACCGTTTCGGTTTTGAAACCGAAAAATTTACGCGAAAAAAACGATATTCGCTTTCAACCGACACCGAAGAAACCGAACATTGTCGCATTCAACAAATTTTCATAGATGGTAGCATTTGGCTTTGAAGATGGTTGCAAGAGAAAGCTAATGGCATTCATAGCCGTCTTGTACTTTCTCACACCAATGTATATGAATCCAGATCGCATTAGCAATTAATTCAGACTTACGAGCATACGTCCTCAGATGTCCTAATTCACTGATCTTTTGCGTATAAATATATAGTGTCATAGTAAAAACTCTAAAGGGATTTGAATTCTTATTGCTTTTTTGAAAAGTTATGAATTTTTTAATTTGCCCATATAGAGCATAACAGAAATTGTTAAAAATTCTATAACTCAGTCAAAACACGGTACGAACGATGAAAATGTTTTTTCTGCAGCAGTGCTCGATGTCTATTATAATCAGAGAAAATTCCAGCCTTTGATCACTATTCCTTGTTGAGTTATAAAATGTAGTGGAACAATATTTATTAACTGTAGTTGGTACGAAAAACAAATATACTTTAACCATTCTTTTATCGAATAGCATGTTCATTAATATTACAACTTTCAATCGGTCTTCTTTCTCAACTATCTCTTTCTTTTCTAGTTGCTTCTGTTCTTAGATTTGAAAATCTTAGTTTAGGTTATCTTTTTACACAAAATATTTGTTCAACGACATATAGGCAAATGCCAATAAAAAAGATAAATAAAACCTTCTTAGGCAGAAGGGTGGCCACATTCACTCTGATGATACTATTCGCCAGACTGAACGGTCAACTAGCTCACCAACCTAAACTCTCTTTCTTCAAAAAACTTATCGACACATATCGTTTCTATCACTTGTCTGGAACACATGGATTTTCCTTAAGGACGCAGAATTCTATAACCTAGCAAGGAATAGTGATGGAAGGCTGGAACTTTCTCTGATTATATTAGACATCTAGCACTACTACAGAAAAAAATTCTCATCCGTCTATATTGTGTTTTGACTAAGTTATAGAATTTTTAACAATTTCTGTTATGCTCTATATGGGTAAATTAAAAAAATTCATAACTTTTCAAAAAGCAATAAGAACCCAAATTCCTTTAGGGTTTTTACTATGACACTATATAGTATTTATAGGCAAACGATGATTAAAGTAGGCGTTGGACATCTGAGGAGGCATCCTCGTTAGTATTATTGTGACATTTTGTGTCTCAATAGCTATATGTAACTCGAGAAATCGCAGGACATAACACAGATGATTAGAAGACGAAACATATGGCAAACTCCATCCACTAAGTGGCAAATACAAGATATTCAATTTGGTCGTTAAGTCAAGATAGAGATCTATATGTGCTTTTTTTGGTTTTAACGGTTTTAGTCTTTTGATTGTTGGTTGACTGAAACCGATACGGATAAAATCTTTCTAAAAAATGTTTCTTTGACAATAGTAAATAGATGTTATGTGCTCACTCTTTATATCATTTTAAAACCTTAAACAAAAAAATTTTAGGTTTTTTCGGTGTCGGTTTAAACCGAACGTCGGTTTCTTCGGCGTCGATTAACCGGCACCGGTGCATACCTAACTCCAAATGTTAACTGCTAGATAGGTTTCCACGGAACTGAACGCTTAATGGTTTGAACCATGCTCTTTCCGCTAGGCTAGTCAAAAGACTGGGTTGACTATCACAAGTAGGTTTCCTAGAAATTCGCCCTCGCTATACTTGGAAAAATTCTTTTAGGAGAATGCTTAGGAGTTGGAATTTTTCTGAAAACGTATTTGTGTTCAGCACTGTTCAAGAATCATTTTTTAAAGCATCACCTAATACTGATTTTTAAACTAAATTTTAAAATTTTGAAATTAAAGATCTTCTAAGATTCAGATATCTCGGCGCACTCTGGCGAAAATTTTTTTCTAAAACCAGCATCGGATAGTGCTAAAAAAACTGAACAAACGTAGCGAATTGGTAAAGTTTGAGAATAAATCTAGAAGAGTTTTTTAAAAGACTTTTAGAAATCCTGTAAAATCCGGCTTGAGAACTTATTCACTTAAATGCAGACGTGGACGTCCTTAATTAATGTCATCAAACAGCGACTCATTTAGCTGTAAAATTGTTTATTCGTGATTTTAATCACTCAATTCAAGAATCAAAATCATTACAAGTACGATTTAATTATTTACCAAAAGAAATGGAAATAGATAATAAAGCAAAACTCATAGCCATCTCATTGAAATACAGTATTGTCTGTCCGTACACTGCATTTGTCGGTGTTGAAAGTCGTTTGGCAGGTGAGAAGAGTCGAGAAGTACCTATTGAAATTGCGGATGATAATAATCAACGTAAGATGAGAATGAATGCTGTCTTAAGCGGTGTAATCCGTCACAGATGACTTATTCCCAGTGCCGCCTACTCCAGAGGGGGTTTCGGAGCGGAGAAAATTGCCCAGGGGGTTGGAGGATGGAGAGACACGTATGTAACTCCACCGTACGTACTTGTAACCAGTAGCGTGTGCGAGGAGAGAGAGAACAAGAGTATACCATGAATGAGGACGAAGAAGAAGAAAGCGATGATAGCGAGTGCTATCGACGCCTTGTTCAAGCGTGACGCTGTGACATTTTTGACACAGTAATTTGAGCTTTTCTCAAAAAGTATAAAAGCCAGAAACTTCGTTCTTGCGCCATTCGATGCAGCTCGCCATACTCTACTTTTGTTATAAAAATGAAGGTATGTAATTAAAGACTCGAATTTTTAGAATCGTTTTCCGGCGCGTGACGCTGTGACAAAAAAGGCCCTGAATTCGAAGTTCTTCTCATTAAAAGCTAATTTGCTACGAATTTAGAAGAGCTAATAAAAAGCGCCTCGAGCAAAGTTTGTAGAGGAGTAAACGAGCTGCTGATTGCTAAAAAGGAATCTTTCCAATGAGCGTTCCATCCCTCAATAATTGTGTTTTATCGTCGTGACGCTGTGACACACGTTTTTCACAACAAAGTTTGGAGCACTAAACGTTGCTCAAAGGATGTCATTTTCACATTGAACTTAATTTAATATAGACTAACGTGAAAATAAAGCTGAAAAAATGTTTTCACTTTCTCAGAATTGCGTGAGCGTCTCAAAACTTAAAACTTTATTAAAACGCTTGTTTTGAATCTAAACTTCAAAAGAAATATACCATCTTGTAGAAGGATCGAATTCTCTATCGATTAGTGTGGCCTTCCATTTTTATTGGGAAAAGTATCTAGGTAAGGAAATAGAAAAGACTAGTAAAACTGGATTTTTGATGGCAAAATTTAATTTTTTTAAAAAAAACTGTGAGATTTGTAATTAGCATCAAAAACTGCATCTGGTAATATGCGTCTTTCGGTTCTACTCTAAAACAATTTTTTCATTCAGTTACATTACGATCTCTCGATAAAATGGGCCGACCGAGCTCAAATTTTTACCATAGATATCTTAGACCTGATTTCTGGAGTAAAATTTTTCTTTTCGAAAAATAGGCTTTCCTTCTCGAGATATTAGAACAACACTAAAAATCCTGTATAGAAAACCGGTTTTTGATTTTAAAAACTTTCTCACACCGAAAGTTGAAATCGAAATAGTTAGAAAAAAATTTATTCCTGAGGTAGGGTCTGAAGTATCTGTGGTAAAAATTTAAACTCGATCGGACCATTTTTTCGAATATGTGACTGGATTGAAGGGACTATCAAAAATACACATTGTGCATAGGACTCTGTTTTTCAGGGCCTTTGCGGTGATACTTATATCGCCACAAAAACTCATCGGAAAGTTCTGCAAGGCGTCTCATTTTAAACAACAGACTTTCTTTGATCAGCCCATGAATCAGACAAAATTCTGAATGTATAGAAAAGGGGAGAAAAATTTACGAAACTAAAAAGTTGAGATTTTTTACACTTTAAGGAAAAACAAAAGCGTCGTAACTTTTTCAAGGAAGGTCATGGAAAGTTGGGAGTGGTTTCATTTTACAGCCCGGATTTTCTTCTACATTGGATTGTGTTCAGCTTAAAATGAGAAGTTTTTGCAAAAAAGAGGGGGGAGGGGTACCCTTAAGGAATCAGTGGTGCGAAAAACAGACTATATCTACTGTGCTCGCGTTCTCGTTCTCGTTATCGATCACCTTTAGCAGAAGAAAAAGTCTCGAAAAGAAAGTGATATAACAGTCGCGGAGGAGGATATTGTTCGCCGCTTAATAAAAATGCGACAATTTAATGGCACATGGACTTTGGATGAAAAACAGTTGAAACAATTTCTAAATGTGAATGTTGATAAATATCAACAAATTCTAGCTTTAGGAGAAGATAAGATGATTCTATCGTCAATTATTGCTCTCGTCATGTTGGAAAAACAGTATAAAAATGATGAACAACTGTGGAAACCAATTGTTGATAAAACAAACAAATGTTTCTTGAAACATTTGGGCAAAAAAGATAAGTTGGATAAACTGATTGAAATGATTACAAATGTTTTATAGATCGAAGTGATATTTTCATTAAGATAAAAATGTATAAAAGGCGAAAAAGACTAGTCTTAAATACATAAACAATAACTAGAATACTTCTTAATCGACATGATGTAAATAGGGATGCTTTTCTAAATAAATAAAACAAGATTAAATGTACAGAAGTGAATGAATTTTAGCTAATCATGCTGTATTGTTCGAAATTGAATGTCGTGTACAATTTAGAAACCAGCCAGGTCTTTCTGCGATCTATTATCGGAAACTCATGAGAATCCTAAGTTTCACCTGAAAAAGCATCATTTCTCTGTATTTCTGTAAATAAATTATTTATTTTCAACCATATTGCTATTCTGTTAACTACGGCTCTCAACTCCATTTAATGGTTATTTCACGAAGTGTAACTATAATACACAACGTCTCTGATTCAAATCTCATCACTGTAATCCATTGTAAAAAAAGAACCATTAGATCAAGTTGAGATGTATGGGCACACCGCCTTCCACATTTTTCAAAAGAATTTCAGTTTTCAATTAGACATGATTTGTTAGAAAACCAAGTGTCCTCCACAGTTTTAAACCACTTGATTATCATGGCATAAATTTCATGCTGAAAACCATCATTATTCACTGCATTCTTTATTATTTTTTCAACTTTTTGGCACCTCTAGAGCAAACTTGTTTTCTCAAAATAAAATGATCTTCAAAGCCGTTTACGAGAAGC